TGGTTCAAACGATATTATCTTCGCTCTAGGAAAATTCGCATACGTTTTCTTTGGTGAGACGTTTTCATAGATTTTACTTCTGGAACAATGGTTCTACTGAATACATATGTACGCATTTCCAAGGATTGCCTCTGGTGATTCTTTTGGTCAACAAAACTACTAGTTCATATGCTGTTTGAAGCATGTGAAATGCTGCTCGTTCCTTTTTTGTTATGGACGTCATAGAAATTCGCTCTAGCATACCTGAAGGTGTCTAACGTTGCAATAAAATTCACAAAACGAATGCCATAGAATTACACTTTTTGGAAATTGGTTAATGTGAATATTTTCAGGATCGCTTTTATTGGGATCGATGCTAGGTTGCGGAAATGCGCTCATTACGAAGATGACAGCCATAGCCGAACATCCACTTCTTGAAAGCAGCTTGTTCATCCTTGTTTCCTACATCTCATTCTTACTTGGTGAAGTTGTAGGACTAACTGGTACGCTATGCAAATAATATTTGTAATTTCCTTATATACTATTTGATGCCGCTTCTTTCGTGGTATATTGAGCGTTTCGCACTGAAATTTTTTGAGCAAAATTCTTCTTTTTTAACATGTTAGCCAGTAGATCTATTTTCTAGGAATTGTGTCTGTGCTATTTTGCGGAATCTCTCAAGCCCACTACACGTTTAACAATCTTTCTGAGGAATCGCAGCATACAACGAAACAGTTTTTCCATGTTTGGCAGTTACTTCAATGTACTTCTTGATTGCTTGCATCTGTAATTTCAGATGATCTCATTTGTTCTCGAAAGTTTCATATTCTGCTACATCGGAGTTAGTGTTTTTGTCGCGAACAATCAGAAATGGAACATAGGATTCCTTCTTTTTGCCCTGGTAGGTAATCTAGAATTTTTTCGATTTTTGTTGTAAACCTTGTAAAGTGTTTGCAATGCATCTTGCGAAATTTTTGTAATTAATCCCATTTTTGGTAGCCGTTCCAGTATAGCAGGAAGCAAATTGCTCATGGTTTGTCTGAAATCG